CTTTCTGTTCCTCACTTACATTTTTATGTAGTGGGATGCACTCACTCATTCACTCCCACCAGTCTGGTTGCTCATTTATTTACCAGCCTCATAAATTTCTTTTAGACAGTTCAGAGTGTCAGGAAGATAATTTGTGTGGTACCAAAGGGGGGGTTCTACTGGATCTCCCCAAGGGTGTGTGTTGTCACCGTTACTCTTTATTCTCTATACAGATATGTGTCAGAGTAGATGGGACAATAGAACCATCATAAAGTATGCTGATGATGCAGTTATTGTCAGTCTTCTTAGGGATGGTGAAAATAGCCACGGTCCAGTTGTTGATGATTTTGTAGGCTGGTGTGAGGAATCCTACCTGCAACTAAACATAATAAAAACCAAAGATATGCTTATTGATTTCAGGAGGAAACCTCAAAGGCAGGGAGTTACTTTAAAGGGCAGACTCTTGAGTCTGTGAAATCATATAAATACCTAGGGACGATCACTGATAGTACATTGAGTTGAAGAAAATTGTGAAAGGGTGTGCAAAAAGGGTCAGCAACGTCTACACTGTTTAAGGAAACTTGCACACTTTCACATTGACCGAACCTTAATGAATATGTTTTATCAAGCTTTTATTGAATCTATTTTATCGTTTTCTCTAGTGTCATGGTTTGGTCAGATAACGTTAAGACAGAGGAAATCCTTGGAGCAAGTAATTAAGTGGTCTAGTCGCTTGCTTGGGGAGTCAGTACTTTTTGCATCTTCCCTCTGGCCGAAGGTTTGCAGTTCCGAGTTGTAAAACGACGTGGTACAAAAACAGCTTTGTTCCTGTTGCTGTTATAGAGCTGAATAAGCTGCAGTAATATTTTGTATATAATAATTTCACGTTTTTTGTTTTGGGGTCTTTTTTATTATTTTTATTTTATGTGCCGAATGGTGGAGTTCTGAGTATTTCTATTACGTTCGGTGTATGTGTCGGTGTTATGTTTGTGGTTTTTAGTGAATGTGGATGTCATCTGATCTGATCTGACTGCAAAACAAATCTACCTACGGGTATAAATAAAGTAACCTAACCTAACCAAAACACAATTAAACTTAATAAAGCGAATATTTTCACAACACAAACTTCAAATAAACTGCCCGTGCACACCCACACAGACCATCAGCTCCGGCCTATATCCATCCCACATGCAACACAGAGAACATCTTTTCTTCCAAATAGATGGTACACCTTCTGTGGCGTTTGTTATTTCACTTATTCTTTATTAAAACATGGTGCTCATCTGTAGATGGCACAGTTTTAATAGCGATCTTACGCTTTCATGTGTGTTCTCTCGTTTATGCCTCAGATCGACCTGGAGAGCGTCTTCGCTCTGAATCCAGATGTTGCTCCCGATGAGGAGATACCACAGAGTCCGGAGGCTCCTCTTCCTCCCTCCAGTGCTGCCAAAACCAGCAAAGCTCCCAAGGTCTGTCCCCGGCTATCGGCCCTTTTTTCCCATAGAGAAGTTCAACGTTAGCTCATTATCTGAGTCACTGTTTTATGTTCATTCATGAACTCTTGGGGTCATTTTATTTGTCCAGTATTTCTTGGGCATGTCTTTACTTACAGTTTAATGCTGACACTGATTTAGAGCTCCAGAGAAACACCTGGGTCACAGGAAGAAGGCTGAGCTGAGACACCGACATTGCAAAGTGTTTGCTTTTGTTACACAGTAGAGATGTTTGAAATTACTTTTCAGTCAGTCCGTGATACAATAATACGATCTAACAACTAATCAAGCCAGAATAATAATGACAGTTTGTATGGTACATTAGCAGCGGCCCGCTACATCAATATTTCTATCATTGATTACACAGGCCTGCTATGATGGCTAGGCTACCATGTTAGCTAAGGTGTTCTCTAGTGTTTGCTTTGCACAGTAGAGATATTTAAAATTACTTTTCAGTGAGTCAGTCAGCGTTACGGCGACTGTCCAACTGCTCCGTACCAGTTCCAAGTGGCATCTGAATCGGCAGGTGCCACTAGGGCAAAGTGCCAAATGCCACTTTCCGCTCTCGGCACTGTTGGACAAGTCTGTGCTGCTGTGTGACAGTTTGAACTCAATAAAAGGAAATGATTGATGTGGGTGAACACATTTACCAGAAATAATATTTTAAATTTATGACAAACAGCTTCCAGAAATTTCATATAAATCTTAAAAGAAGCTCACAAAGATAAAATAACAGGCCTGACTGGGACTAACACTGCCCCACCGACTGCGCTCCATGACTACTGAAACTGTGATTTCTGCATGAAATCCTCCGATCATGAGGACAGTTCCTCATCAGTGAAATCGTTCCACATCCAACTCTTATTTTTTGGTCCTTTTGTTTCTGATTTACAGGCCAGACGGATTACAGCGATACCTAAGGCTGAGAATGCCCCACGGGAGAACAGAGGTATGTTTCATTTAAATGTGGAGACACCCAGAGACCTACAGTATTGACCCACACTCTGAATCAGAGCTGACTCCAGGCTCAGCAGTGACTCAGGTCAGATGCTGTATCTGCCTACTGAAATCCTTCTGAAGACCTCAAATCAGGGTTTCGAACATGCACGAGAAAACTTAAGTGTGTGATGACACGAGGTCTGACAACCAGTCATGGTGCACCTGTAGATACCTGCGGATACCTTCAGGAGTGCGGTGAGAGACCTGAGGCCTCTGGTCTCAGTGCAGCCAGAAGATTTCAGTGACCAGGAATAGGAGCAAACATGCTGGGCCATTTTTAACATGAGTTTATACCAGACACGTGACATTGTTGGAGAATTAATTTGGCTCCCTGTGTGCCAACTGTTTGCCAGCTGCTAATAACCTGTCTCCCAGTTCTTTGTAACTAGATTACCTGTTGGATAAACCGAGAAGATCGAATTACTGGCATACTGTCAAACTCTCAGCCCACTGTAAATACATCTGCACATTTTTCTTAGACCTCTTTCATACCATTAATGCTGCATGATAACTTTATAAAACCACTATGGCTGTTAGCCACCAGTTACAGGCTAATGTTACACAAAAACAAGACACTAACTGCACTTACACACGCCTTCCAGGTGCCAACTCTGGTGAACAACAGACTCCTGATTGGAGTCTGGGTCTGAACAAGGCTCAAACATATCCAACTAAGTCTCTTCAATATTCCTTCTCTCCATCGTATCCTGATTCTCAGTGATTTCACCAGTCGACCTGGGGGAAGCAGCGTTGCTGGGCAGTGCCCACTTGACTGTGCTCATTTACATAAATTTGAATATTACATTAATATTACACAAAATATCAAAATAGTTAATTTTATGTTGAGATATTACTCAATTAATTGATCAACTGTTTAAGCTTTAAATAAAACCAAAACTATCTCCATGGGTTGATACCAGTGGCGCTAAGTGGGGAAAAAGGTTTGTTCTGTAATTTGGGTGAAATGACCCTTTAACCTGCATAAATGAGCCATTATCTTGGACTGTGTGCTCCTCAGCTGCAGCAGTGGGAACCACCCGGGCCCGTCCCAGTCAGCACAGTCAAGCCTCAGAGCCGCCTCCACCTGCCATCGCCCCTCCACCTGCGCTCAGCCAGGCCCAGATCCAGCAGCAGAACGGTAACACACGGGCTCTTTACCTGGGTAATGCATGCCACAGGTGATTCTCAGTTTGGTATTGTCTGCTGGACTTGGAGATAGTTTCCAAGTGTCTCTGTTGTTGTTTTCTGGTGGCAGTGACGTCACGCTCACATGCAGCTGTGCCCAGGCCTCAAAGGCTCTTTCACAGCTCCTCTCTGGCTTTGGCTGCTGGACTCATACTACAGCACTTGTTTAGGGTTTATGCTGTGGCTGCTGACACTAGAATAAAAGTGTGTTTCTGTGGAACTCAGACTTACTGTAACACTCAGAGCTACACATTTGGAAAAGTGTAGAACAGCCCAACACCCAGAGGTGGTTGATATATTCTCATTTCTGACAAAAACTATTAATAAAATCCTCCCAGTTCAGTACTGAGAAAATATTTGGTTTTCTATGTTTGGAAAATGAAGGAAATGATCATCCATTATGAAAATGATTGTAGATTTTCTGGTTCACCTTCTCTATAGACTATGAGCTCACTCACTGGAGGCCATGTTCGTATTGATCCGCTACTGAAAGTAGTCCCCATTTTAAATTATTTTACTCCCTTCTTAGCAGCCCGGAGGAAATCCAATTGTGTGAAGGAGGTGGAAAAACTGCAGGAAAAGCGAGAAAAGAGACGACTTCAGCAGCAAGAGCTCAGGGAGAAGAGAGCGCAGGTGAGGAGCAGAGCTGCCAGTTTATTAGGTACACCTAGCTCAAACTAACTAGTTAGTTTAAGCCAACACTCCTGCAATAAATCCTGTTCATGTAGGTGATGGTCATTTCTGTTGAAACTGTTATAGAGAGGTGTGGATTCAACATCAGCCTCAAACAGCTGAGCCAGCACCTCTTAGAAACAGTGTGAACACAACCTAAACATTTTCACCTTCATGAGGAGGATAATGCACTAATACTACTGTCAGAGTAGTCTGACTTAGATTTAACCATGGGTTGAGGAATTTATTCACAAGGTGCTGGAACCCTTCCCAAGGTTTTCAGCGTCATCCAGTTCCTGCAGACGGTTTCCTTTCTTAACCACTGGAGTAAATGAAATGTACCGTTATGTTTCTCAGTGCATTTTGTATTAAAAAAGAGTAAAAGACAGTGTCTCCAGTTTATCCTGAGGCGCTATAATCAATAATGTATTTAGCCTCGGCGTTTGGTTCAAGTCTGTTTTAGGCCTGTGTTGAACAATATTTTTTATATCTTTGAAATGAGAAGAATTACCTGAAGAACATGGTCTTCACTTGCTTCTGTTTTTCTTTGCCATGTCTGTATGTAAGATGCACAAACTGGAGACTTTATGGAAGCAGGTTTGTTTTGATGTTTTCTGTTCCATTGCAGGAAGTGGATGTCAATTTACCCAACTATGAAATCATGTGCATGATCCGAGACTTCAGAGCCAGTTTGGACTACAGGCCTTTAAACACAAATGATCTGGTGAGTCTGGTTGAGAGCCGGGTTTCCAGATTCGGTCTGCTGCACTTCAGCCTGGCATAATAAAGGTTTCTAGATAAAGACAACTGGATCTGGTTATTTCCTCTGTGATCACCAGGCATCAGATACTAAATGTTAGAGTAGCAGCTTGGAGATATTTACACAGTAGATACAGTGAGAAGCTGGTAAATGCATGAGATTTTATTAGAACCAACTGCAGAGTATTTAACCAAACCTATGGAGGTTTATTGGTTGTTGTGAACAATATGGTAAATATGAACATACAAATATATCAGAATCAGCTTTATTGGCCAGGTGTGATGGACACATGAGGAATTTGACTCTGGTACATCGGCTCTCAATGTGTTTCCTAAAAGGGAACAGCTGTGGCACTGATGGGTTAAACGTCTCGTGTCTGCAGCATCAGCTTTGTGCAGCACGTCCTGAGAAATAAACAGATACAAGGATATAAACAGTATCCCTCTGTTCCTCTTAATGTTTCAGATCGAGGAGCACAGGATATGTGTTTGTGTTCGTAAACGTCCCCTCAATAAAAAAGGTAAGAGTAGCTGTGTGCACAGAGCAAAGTTAACGTTTTATGTTCTGTCTCAACTTAGCGCTGTTTTCTTTGCCGTGTTTGTTCAGAGCTGTCACTGAAGGATTTAGATGTGATCACCATTCCCAGCAAGGATGTGGTAATGGTTCATGAGCCCAAGCAGAAGGTCGACCTGACACGCTACCTGGAGAACCAGACATTTCGATTTGATTACGCCTTTGATGAGAACCCCACCAATGAGATGGTTTACAGGTGTGCGTTTGCCGACACATCAGCAGTGCGAATAAAAGTCTCGTCGCTAACAGATCTCTGCTCGCAGGTTCACCGCTCAGCCGCTGGTCGAGACCATCTTTGAGAGGGGAATGGCAACCTGTTTTGCATACGGACAAACAGGAAGTGGAAAGACACACGTGAGTGCTTAAGGTGAGAAGCGTTTGTTTCTGTGCACGTTTCCTGTTGTAACTCATGTCTCCTTTTAGACGATGGGCGGAGACTTTTCAGGAAAGAACCAGGACTGCTCTAAGGGGATCTACGTGCTGTCTGGTTAGTTTCCTCTTTACCTCCATCTTCACTGCCGGTTACTCCACTGAACTGAACTCGGCTTTCTCCGCCTCTTTCCTTGTGCAGCCAGAGACGTTTTTCTCATGTTAAAGAAGCCAATTTACAAGAAGCTGGATCTGCAAGTTTTTGCCACGTTTTTTGAGATCTACAGCGGCAAGGCAAGTGACTTTAGAGGATTAAATTTGTCATACCCCTGTGACCTAAATCTCTCTTCTGCATGTCAGATGTATTTTCTGTCAAAACAAACTGTCCTAGCTCAAGGCCCTGGCGTTTCTGTAACTACAGGCCCTGGGGTATTTGTGCATGTATGTCTGTATGAGTAATCAATTGAACATATGTTGAAGAATAATTTACTCCAGCCTGTGCAACATTTCAAGAAGCTGCCTGACAGCAAAGCTATAGCAACATCAGATGAAAAACCGAACCGGTTCATGTTTGTATTAAAGGTGTTTGACCTTCTAAACGGCAAAGCCAAGCTACGGGTCCTAGAGGACGGGAAGCAGCAGGTGCAGGTGGTGGGGCTGCAAGAGAGGGAGGTGAAATGTACAGAGGACGTCCTTAAACTCATCGAAGTGGGAAACAGTTGCAGGTAATCATCATAGTTTAAATAAATCACTGTGATATTACTTAGATGATTGTTATGAATATTGTTCAGAAAACTTTGGTCTGATCCTCAGAAAGAGACTTTGTGTTTGTCTGCCTCCGTCAGGACTTCTGGTCAGACGTCTGCGAACGCTCACTCCTCTCGGAGCCACGCTGTGTTCCAAATCATTCTGCGTCGGAGGGGGAAGATGCACGGAAAGTTCTCCCTTATTGACCTGGCAGGGAATGAAAGAGGGGCAGACACATCCAGCGCTGACCGGCAGACTCGCCTCGAAGGAGCCGAGATCAACAAGAGCCTGCTGGCACTAAAGGTCTCAGTATTTAGGAGATCCTGTAGCTCATGTCTTTACTGTACAGATTCCAAAATGGGCACGGTCCATATTCCCCTCTTCTAGTCTGATCAAGTTGGGTCTTGTTTCACTGTTTCACTGTTGCACATCCCAAGTCTTTGTGTCAGTACATCCAATACTCCAGCAGATCTGAATGGACCCGAGCACACGTGGTATCTGTTTTGAGGTGAGAGAGAATGAGAACTATGAGTGTCACAGCTCATCGGTTTTCCGTGACCAGCCAGGTCACATCAGGTTTCTGGTTTTGTCCAAACACCAGAGAAAATCACTTTGTGTTACAAAACAGAGAAATGCAGCACACTGTCAAGTCTGAGGAGACAACTACTGAAGAGTTTCAGTTTTTCTTGATCACTGATTTACAGAGTTGAGCAGTTATGAATATTTTTGTGGAGTAATCATTCCAGATCTACTGTTGTGTGAGTTTTGACGATGCACCTTCTCTGTCTGCAGGAGTGCATTCGAGCTCTGGGCAGAAACAAGCCCCACACTCCATTTAGAGCCAGCAAGTTAACCCAAGTGCTGAGGGACTCGTTCATAGGAGAAAACTCCAGAACATGCATGGTGAGACAACAGCACAGCTGCATGTATTGCTGTACCCACTGTGGACAGATGTGCTATTGAACAGTTCTGGATAGTCCTGATAAATAATGATATCACTAAAACTAAATCCTACTTCTCCAATGTGTGCAGATCGCAACCATCTCTCCAGGAATGGCCTCTTGTGAAAACACCTTGAACACGCTGCGATATGCCAACAGGTAAAACAGATTCTTCTGAACCGATAAAAGCTTCTGATCATGACTAGTCTCGCCTTTTTAATTACACAGTATGTAAATGTTAATGTAATAATGCCACAAAGAGTTCCAGTTTAATTCTCAAGAAGATGTTTGCTGTTTAGAATAATCTTTAAAAGCACATTAAACGACTTACTAAGCCACTGCAGTGTATCACTGCAGTCTGGTGCTGGACAGGAAGTGTACAGTGGCTTTACCAAACACTGAGCCAAATCATTCAAACCTGCTCTACCTAATGTCTTTTCAGCCTAGA